GCAGGCGGCGCCGGCCCATCCCCCGTCAGGATCGGAGTCGAGGTTTGAAGAAGAGACGTCTGCCCGGAGCCATAGTAGCCACCGCTAGCGGTCGTGGCGAGGGTGCTCGACGTCCCGGCCCGTCGGACCTCTACCCTTGCGAGACTCTTGCTGCTGCCACTGCTGCTGGTGTAAGTTGGCGGTCCCGGGGATGGCTGCTCGCTGTTCTCACGGTGCATATAACTCATGTTGCGGCCCGCTGGCTCAGAGGCGGGGATGATCCCGTCGGTTTCGCTGCCGTTGGGAAGTTCCCGCTCCGTGACGTTGATGCGCGTGGGGGATCCCTTTTCGAGGCCCGGGGTGTTGAGATGCGGGGGCCCACCGCTGTTGATGTTGTGGGTTCCGAGTCCGAGGTTGGTGTATGTTACTGCTGCCTTTTCGTCGCCGGGTAGTAGTGTCGCGGTGTTGGAGGGGGATGGTTTTTCGTGGGGATGGCTGTCGTCGAAGGATTCTTGCTGGTTGTGTAGTTCTTTTGTTTGCTTCCTGCGCAGTCGTCGGATGGTTAGGTGTTCTGTTTGGTGTTTGTGGTTGTCAGTCGGGTGTTCTCAGGTGCACGTGGGATATGGAAAGGAGAAGGAGGACTGACCGCTGAGGATGTGGAGAAAGGTAAAGATGGTCAGTGAGATGAGCAGGATCGGGACAAGCTGCCCAAAGGTCGTCCACTCGTTCTCCGGGTTGGGCGAGGCGACCCACCCCGAGTTTGCGATCCACAGGCGCAGGCCGACGATGTACAGCCCCGAGGTGACGATGGTCCAGATGGCAATGCCCACTCCGCCCCACAGATACAGGCCAAAGAGCACATAGAACAGACCCCGTGCCCTGAAGAGGAACGAGAGCTTGTTCTTGATTGCGTTTACAAACTTGCGCCGCGACCCGTCGTGCTCCTGGGCTCCGCGCCGGACCACGCGCCCGACGCTGACGAGGATGGCCAGGGCGTAGAACAGGACCATGAGCAGGTACTGCTCCCAGCCGGGGATCTTGCTGTCGAAGAAGGAGCGCGCCGAGCCGGAGCTGAAGGAGCCCTGCACGGCGGAGCCGAACTTTGCGTCGCCGCCCTGGAAGCAGGCCGCGGGCAGCAGGATGGGGCTGTACTTGACGTCCGAGGAGGGGATGCCCGTGGGGATGCCGGTGCTGTCGCCGGCGCCCTGGTTGGACAGCAGCACGCCCGTGACGATGAAGAGCAGCGCGGTCACGATGATGCGCAGCGAGGCGACGAAGGGATGCTCCCAGTAGTTGCGGGAGATGGTGATGGACATGACGTGTGTCGCGCATGTGAGGAGGAGCATGTTGGAAACGACGTTGTAGTGGTAAGCTGTGATGGAGCACCCTTTTGCGTAGCGGAGCGTCACGGCGTATGCGCCTATCGGGAGGGTTGGTATAATTCATCACGGGAGAGGGCTGGTCTGGGGAGGGAGTACCGGGGCAACGCACCGCCTGTAAAGATTTGCTGGTCGCTGCAGGTGAGGACGAGGACCTCGAGGAAGACGGCCAGCTTGAGCTCGAAGCGCTTGTTCTTTTTGTCACTGTGGTTTGGGGGTGTTAGGGATGGGATGGGATCTGGAATGTTGTGGCAGTTGTTTTGGCGGAGGAGTACGGCACATATACGTACCGTGCTACAACGTCGCTTGCGCTCCATCGGCGGATGTTCTTGAACCACCACCAGAGAGTGTTGATTACAGACAGAATGACCGAGAAGAGTGTCACGGCGACGAACGCCCCCAGGACCTGATCGGGTTCTGTTATCACCCGATTCTGCTGCGTGGGTTGGAGATGGCTGAGTGGAGTTATCACTTACACCTATTCCTGCAATGTCCGAATCAGTTGGAAATTTTTGTTCTTCAATGGTTCCAAGACCCCCAACGGCTTGGTTTGGGATGCTGGTGTCGTTTGGGTATGAGCAATTCAGGGTGGCATGGTAGTGCGCCTCGCAGCCCGGTTGCGAGACGTATGAGCCCATGCTGATCCCGAGTCTTGATTATTCGTTGCCACAATTACGAGGACAAGTCTGTGTGGTGATCCAGGTGGTTGCCTTTGTCCATCATCGGGGAGAGCGAGCTCGCGGTTCTTTAAACCACATTTCTAACGGGTAGCATTTGACCAAGACGGTCAACTGCCAGTCCATGGGTGGCCACCCCCAAATGAGCCAGCCAGACAAGGCTCTCAAGGGCTGACATGGAAAGGAAGCAGCAAGGATGGGAGAAAGAGGGGAACCTGGAAGACATCCAAACATAACGACTTGGCGATTCAGGAACTGCAACATAGAGAAGGCTGCGACTGCTGTAGCATTGTCTGACCCCCCCTCTACGATAGGGAGGGGGGATATCATTGGATGTCAACCGGCAGCGCCGCACGGCTGATGTTTTCAGCACCAAGACCATGCAGGAAGGGCCGGGCCCGATGCTCGTCACATAGCTTTGTGGATATTCTTCTCTACGCACGTAGGGTACACGGTGCAAATTACCTGATAAATGTGCAGCAAAGATCGCCCAGTTAGCGACGAGGTGCGCCATCACCAGCCGTGCTCGAGCATTCACACCATTCCGGACGCATTTTCAACTGCAAGACAGAGCCAATGAAGAATCGCTTGGACAACTGCTTGTGACCACTTGAACCAGCGCAGCAGAGGCGTGCAGATGCTCAAACAGCTCAGCTGCTTGGTGGTTGCATGGGGCTGAATGGCGGGGGTGTTGCTTAGAGTTTGTTGGCTGCATGTGGTTGCATTCAGTGCATGTTATTATCGCGTTGCCCTTCTTGCCGCGACGCACACCAAGTGTCTGGAGCCTCGTCGCTCGAGCTGCTGGCAGTCGCTTTTCTTTGTCGCTGAATCTTGCCGAGTCAATGAGGACCGGGGTCGTCTGTGTTCTTCATCCACTCCGATCATGCCCGTCTCGTCACGGATGCATACCTGCCCGGCCTAGTGGTTATGTGCCTGGGCAACATGTCAATGTGCAAATGTAATCAGCCTCAGTAGGTATTTATAGTGTCAGCTGGAACGGTCGGGAAAATGGAACTGCTGTTAAACACAATTGCAGCCCTAGAGCTCGGTTCACGCATTGAGGAAAACGGCTGCAGGTGACTCCCGTCGAGAAGCCTCACGCAAGGACGATTGCCGCCTCGAATCAATTACGGCTGCTGTATCCCGTACCACAGGGCGATTTGCTCCCTGTGGCATACACAATGTTTTGATCCTGGCACAGTCTGACAAGTCATAATCTGCCCTTTTTTAGCTGCATAACTTGCCGAGCGTTTGTGTAACCGTTTGATGGCCAAAAACATCCACACAGAAACCTAGTTGGGCTGCCATCTCCCCGGCTTGCATATCAACCTTCGAGAGCTGGTCGAGTCCGTAAAGTAGTTGGTGGGAGTGCTGTCACAAGACTTCAACTTTTCCTGCCCCTCTATCTTCAGACTGCATGTGACCAACGTATTGAAGGGGAACGAGTTGATACAGTCGCTGAAGAAAGAGGATCGAGCGTCAACACGGCCTTCCCAGACTGGACCCGGACGATGCTAGGGTCTTGAAATATGCCGCTTCAGCGAGGCATTGGTACCTGGTAAAGACTGCTACTGTATACTGTGGTGATACCTGGTACATTTGGAAATGGTTGCAATAGGCGTGCGGAACTCCGCCGCTCCACCTCCCACACGCACGGGACGAACAAGCTGCAATGCACCCCTCACAAGGCTGCCAGAGCTACGCTGCATTGGCGATCCTGCGACGGTGTACTGTACAACGCAATTACCACCAGACAGACTGCTGGTTTCACGTGTGCTATATTTGGGACTTTTGTCCAGTGCGTTCTTCCCTTCACCGACCGTTAACTCGCAAATAGAGGTGATTGGGCATATTCAATATCTTCTTGGGGTGTTCGTGTTCATTGTGAAGTCCGGTATAGAGCTAGGATCTTCGAAGTTATCTTATTTGAAGCTGCGCAAGCTGTGGTTGTCAGCTTGGTGAGTCCTTGGTCCTTACTGTGTACGCGCGAGGCTCCCAGAGGGCAGCTGCCCCTTATTTCTCGCTTGGTTCGGTGCCCGATCGCCTCTAGGAGCATGCTGACTTGCATAACGGATAATGAGTATACAGCGTTAAAAGAGCCAATGCAGTTCGAGCGCATTTTAGTTTTCTGTGAAGACGCTACAGTACAAAAACACTTTCCCGAGTCCATTCCCCGCAGCGTTATCCCCTTTCTTTGTTGCCCATGCAGAAGCATGTTGCACTGCCCCTTTCAACCCAGAGCGGAACAGTGGAACAACGGGCTGCAGCCCCACCAACTCGCCAATCTCACAGTGGATCTTGTGCCGGATCCCGACTCCGCTCGCCACAGCAAAACAATTACTCAATTCTTCGGCTGCATATCCAACGAAAAGCTTATCATCTCCTTGTGGTGTAGTTGGCTATCACGTTCGACTGTAATCGTTAAAAATCATTATCGAAAGGTCACCGGCTCGATTCCGGTCGAGGAGACACAGCTTCATCTTTTGCTTTTTGCTGTCAAACCCTGGGCTTCCAGGTTCCCAGTTGATGTGATGCTACTCGCCTTGTTCCGTGAGAGCCCGCGATTCATCTCTCAACGCCAATCCTGCAAGAATCTGCTTGATTCTTTTTGCCGCAAGATTACCGGAAAAAGTTCTCGGGATTTGCATTCACTTACACATCCTCGATCCCTTTAATAGTTACCTCGAGACCATGCTTAATTATCTGCAAGAAGAATTTGCATTCCAATTGTTAGAAGCAGTTGAAACAGTGGTCGCCGTCAATCACACCCCCAACAGGCCACCAAATGCGCCTAAGCCTGCCCGCGATTCACTGGTCGACATCCAATCCTGTCCTTGTCATCCCCCCTTTGTCGCAAACAATAGTAAACAAACCCACCAAGCTCGTCAAAGGATTTGGGCGGTTCGCACTTGGCTTGGTCCATAGGCTACACCTCAGGTCCAAATTTACATCAACCAACCATTATGGGGGTGTGGCTCAGTTGGTTAGAGCGTTGGTCTCATAAACAATGATCTCATTAGACATGAGAGCAATCCAAAGGTCGAGAGTTCGAGCCTCTCCACCCTCATACTTTTGCCTGACCCGACTTGTCGGGTCTCCACTTTTTGGAGCTGAGTGGGATAGTTTTGTACATAGAATGATCGCCTCCAACGAACACAACATTGAACTTTCAGCACCCCCTATCTATCCCTCCGTATGTTCCTCAAGTCATATCGTCATAATGGATCCCTCGCTCCCAAAAGCCCGCACAGTGGGTGTCGTGAAGCCACTTGCTAAATCCATTCCACCATCCACGGAGCATGTCAACAACTTATAACCCCCGACCCTTCGGTTCCCCGACATAACGCCCTCACCCTGTTGAACGCTGCATTTGCAAGACCGTTCCAAACACAGTTGATAACTATGCAAGACTCAGTTCATTGCCACTGGTGCCCCGATTCCGAGCCCGAGCCCGAGCCGGCGGCCAAGTTCGGGTTGTCGAACCCTCCGCTCGTACTCGGCCCCGGGGTGCCGCCGCGGAAAGAATCGTACTCGGACCGCAGGTTCTCGATGGCGGAGTTGATCATGTCGGTCTGCTGCGCGGCGGCGGCCAGCTGGTCCTCGAGCTCCTTGATGCGCTGGTCCTTGCGGTCGCGGTAGGCGCGCTGCGACTTTCGGTTCTGCTCTCGTCGTTTCTGTGTATATGTTAGTTTTTTGTCCTCGCTCGATGGGAGTTTACGGGAATCAGAGGTCATCTCACGGCCAGCTGTTCGGGCGAGTACTGCCTCGGCGGGCGCTTGTTGCGCTTCTTGGGTCCCCCCGGGCTGGCGGTATCCTGGTTTGCCAGGTCCATGTCGTCGAGGTGCGTCGCGTCGGTTGCCGTCGGGTACGACATCGCACCGCCGGACGATACAGACATGTGAGGGTCAAAGACCCCTGGGTACTGCCCGAAGCTGGGATCTGGTTGTTGCAAGTGGAGTTGCTGCTGGTTGCTGATATCCATGAATGGGTTTCCAGAGTAATCCAGCCCAGCTAGATAGAGGTCTGGGTCGAGGTCGGGGTAGACACCGGTGGCGAAGGTGGTGTTGTCGGAATCCCCCAAGGAAATCCATTCCTCGCCTTGGAAGCCCAAGGGGGGTGTGTTGTCGGTGTTGTTGTTGGTGTTCGTGTTCATGGTTGAGTTGGTTGTCGGCTTTGGAGTCGTGAGTGTGCTTTTTGCTTTCTGTGACAGCTTCAGAAGAGGCGTGGCATTGCTTGTTGAACCAGGGATGGAGGAGAAGATAGAGCCGCCATTCCACTGCTTTATATACTTGCCTAGATCAAGCCTAGACACCAAGACACCGACGTGACTCATGATGATGAGGGCAAATAGTTGCGAAGTTGACAAGATACTGCGAGGTCAGTATCAACTCCGCACCTGCATGATGCTCTCCTAGTCGGTGTGCCAATAACGTGCGCGGAAGCCCATCCCAGCCTGTGATTCCATCACGGGCAAAACCACCCGGGGGTCTTCTGCCGTGCTGATACGCAGATTATCATGGCACCGTGATTGAAACCATCGCCAAACTAGTCAACACAGTACCGGTTCAATTTCCGCTTCTGGACACACCTGAGGCTCTCCATCGTGGAACATTGCGCCTTAGGGCTGTGTGCGTCCCCAAAACGCCACATATGCTTGCCCCCGGGATGCCCCAAACGGGCTAAGAGGGTGGCGAATGCTGACAGCGCCAATCAAGGAGGCTCGCTGCCAGATGTCGGGGCTGGCTATCGTTGTCCTAGAGCGGAAGGGCATTTGCCCGTTGCGGCATGGTCGGCTGGGGGCTGCACGTTTCGCAGATCGTGTGCTGCAGATGCTGTGCAGCCAGCACGATGCAGGCACCGAGCTTCGGTCACCAGGTGGGCCTTGCTGGGCCAGACAGTGATAAGCGGCCACGTTGAAGCCATTCGGGCTACCAGTGCCTGTTATCTGATGCACAACATCACACTCGCCAGTGCGGTCTTCCACCGAGCATCATGGGGGACGGTGTCGCGTGTTGCTTCGTCATGCCCTTTGCATCCGTCCGGCTTCAACTCGGCGCTAGGAAACCCCTCGCGGAGTTTCAGATCTGTCGATGTCAGCTTCTGACCGAAGACCATTCTGGTATGTTTCCGCCCTACCCCCTCTTCATGACCAGTTGGTTTGGACGGCCAGCGGAACGTTCATATATACTGGATTGAGAAAATAATAAAAGTATCACAATGTGATGAATGGATATTGCCTCATGTTGCCGATGACATGCAGCACGGCAGGTCGTTGCTCATAGTATGGCGGGTGACGGCTGCGTTACACGTCGAGCTGGATGCGATGTCATCGGCAGGTGAGGGGAACAGATGATAAATGCAGCTAGTAATTATTAGATTGCCAGTTTCGATGCTAATGCTCAATATCTGAAGAGTCGGCTATGATTGAGACTCACGGCTGGGACATGGATGCGGAGCGCCTGTCGCTTCAGAAGCTTGCCAAAGATGGTAGGGATGAGATAGACAGTTAGGAACGGCCAGCGAGGGCCGTTGCAAGATGTGAGCAGGGTGCATCGCGTCTTTATACAAATACCCTTTGGATGGGTCAGGTAATGATGATAAATAGAGGTGCGCGTATCAAATAAAGCGAGAGACAGCCCATGGGAGTATTTAGAGTGATTAGTACCATCAGTAACGGAGAGGCCCTCGTAATCTCTGCTAATCAAAGCCCATGTCATCTACGCTCGGTCCAAAGGTGGACAATAATACGACGCACAGGCACCGCCATGTGGTTCAACACCTGGTGCTGGCCCGAATTCGTTCCATGACGATTCAGGCAGGAGGAAGGTCCAAGTTTGCTCGGAGGGATCAACCAAGGCTCATCCCCACTGGTAGATGTACGACTTGTTTTGTAAAGGGGGCCAACATCTGGTTTAGGACTAAGGTAGAAGTGACCGTTCAACGGCATGCATGTTATGCACACCGGCACGGGACCAACCGGTGGCCGGTGCATTGCGATGGTCCAGGTTAGAAGAAAGCGAAATTTCGCTCTCGATACGTTTTGCGAATGTTTCTTTGTGGTGCACTGGTAGCGCGGCGTGACGGGCTGTCAAGACCAGAGCAATGGTTCACTGACACCAAGGGCCCGGATATTACGCTGTCCCTTTTAGCCCCCTTTTCCCCCTTATCGCATGCCAGCTTACACGACCACTAAATTGTCATGATTCTCTCAAGACCTGGGGTTTTCTTTGGACTTGGTAGATGTGGAGTGATATTTCCGTAATCGGAGCACTCTCGTCTTGCTGTTCCGCCACCATACAGCAAAAGTAACGAACTGTTCCCGATGTTACACCTCCCAATGACAACATGCCAGCCTGAAGGGCTTGTATCCCTTTCTTGTCCCTGTATTGCCTGCCGGACCTCTTTGTTGCTAATATCTGCCATCAAATCCCTCGACAGCAGATATCGATATCAAGTTCCAAATTCATCTTCCAGCTATCGCCCTCTCACAGGAGGTGTGGTGCCAGCCCATTCGTCGACTGCAGGACATGGCTGCATGAGTGAGCATCTAAGCCAGATCGGGAGAATGATAGAAACTCGATGGCGATTACTCATGCCCACCGCAGCCGTCACCCTTTCCCACCTTGGCAGCCCTCCCCGGAATTCTCGCGAGTGCCCGCCCTTGCGTGTTTTGCTGTCCTTGAGTCGCATCGTCCAAGACTGGCAAGCTGTTGATCGGCAGGCACTAACCCTGTCTTTTCCCGCATTGTTGACCGACAGCTTTTCGATCGCGCTTGCTACCCTTTTGACACCGAGCCAGCATGCCGCAGCAGCAGCAGCAGCAAGAGTTCCTGTTTGTCAACCCGGGGAACCGGTCCAAGGGGGGGCACAAAATTTCCGCGACTGGCCGGGCCTTTGTGATCCGAAAAGCGCGCACCTCCCACCCGTGGTCGACAAAGAGCAAGAAGCTGACGCTGGACCGGCTCGACGAGGACCCCAGTCTTGTGGCCAGTCTCAAACAGTCGTTCACGGCATATGGGGGGGATGGAGCAGGACGCGGAGACGCAGCAGCATTTCCCAGCTACGCAATCCAGACGCGAGAAAGTGCAGTTCCCAATCTTTCCATGATCCTGGGAGAACAGCCATTCAAGACCACTGGTTGCAACCGCCATGCCAAAGTCTCGACAGGTGACAACCTCATGGTGGATGCTACTAGCTGCCATGACTGCTGGCGTCCGTCCAGGTGCCCACGATGCAGGATTCCGCTCAGGTGCGGGCCCTGTCTCTGCATCGTGACGTCGAGGAGTACAGCAATGTGCAAGCCCTCCCGACAGCTCAGTGGCGGGCTTGACCCTTTTGAGAGTCTGGCCGTGACGCTGGACCGTCGTGACACGGTTCTGTTGACATACTGCAAGTACCTTCCCTCGAGTCCTGCCCCTGCCCCTGCTTCCAACCGCACACACCCCTACTACCCGGTCAATGCTAACCAACAACCCTTTTTCTCATCAAGACCACACCGCAACAACGTCGTTCCCGCCACGTATCACGCTCGGCACCAACGACATCCAAAACGCCCTCGAGGTCCAAGACTACTGGGTCACCGCGTCCTCCAGCCACGCGGGCTTCCTGCACAGCATCCTCTGCCTGGCCGCACTGAAGCTCTCCCTGATCCACCAGCACCAGTCCGAGGCCATGGCCGACCGGTTCATGCACCACCGCCTGCTCGCCATTGCGGCCATCCAGCGCGCGCTCAGCAGCCACAACGACTCCTCGGCCCCGCACACGGCGCTTAGCGACGAGAGCATCGCGACCGTCTTCAACCTCGTGTGCACCGAGGAGATCCTGGCGCTGCATGCCTCCCGCGCACCCACGCGCCCCGACAACAACTCGGTGCGGCTGCTCCTGCAGCCCGACCCAGCGCAGCGCCGCGCCCACCTGGCCGGCTGGAACCGCATGCTCGCGCTCCGCGGCGGGCTGGCCCGCCTCAACGGCGGCCTGCAGTCCTTCGTCATGCGCTGGGCCTACGTCGCGCTCTCGTGCATGCTCATGTCGCTGTACAACCTACCACACATGTACCGCGTCTCGCCC